CCCCAAAACCCCAAAACCCCAAAACCCCAAAACCCCGAGATGAGATTATATAACTGAAATGCTTAAATATTTAAATTCTAGTACAAACATGTGAATGAACAAGTCACTTCTGTGCCAACTCCTTCCTGCGACTTCAAACTGATCTTTCCGCCCAGCTTCTCACACAGTTTCTTGCAGATGGTCAGCCCAAGTCCAGTCCCAGTCTGGTTTCTGTTGTGGTTCGACCGGGTTTTGCCGAACACCTTGAACAGAGAAGGGAGGTCTCACTCTGGAATTCCGATGCCAGAGTCCGAGATAATGAGTTCTACTTTGAGTTCCTTGGTGAATTCAGAAGTCACTGCCTCTTGCGGATCTAACTCAGGTCCTGGGTTCCCAGGTTCAGAAAAGTTCAAGTCTGGGTTGAATTTGGACGGGTTTGGAGTTGACATGTAGTTATCGGTGACAAGCAAGAGATTACAGACAGGCATTTCATCAGTAAGCTCAGATGAAAAGATTGTTGTAAAGTCACCTAAAGTTTATTAAAAATATACTATTGTTGATTTGTTCAGTTTCTAGTTGTAGCGTATCTCAAATTCTTAAGTTCACATTGATAAATCCTCTATCTGTAAACTTCAGTGCATTTGAGATTAGGTTCAAAAGTATTTGCTTGACCCTTTGCTTATCCGACTTGATTTTCAGTTCTATAAACGCATCATCCATTTGAAAGTTAAGATTGATTCCTTTCATTTGTGTCTGCATCTCAAAGATAGATTTGGCTTCGCCAAAAAGCTCTTTAAATGTGAATACTGTCTCGTGTACTTCGAACACCCCAGCCTCTATCTTCGAGAAATCCAAAATATCTTCCACCAGCCCTCCCAAGATGTCTCACGATGAAGACGCAATCCGGTGGAACTTGGCTAAGTCTTCGGTGATGTGGGCCTTCATCAGGTGCAGCGACAGAGACATTGCATTGAGAGGAGTCCTGAACTCATGCGACACATTAGAGAGCATTTGTTTCTGATAGTTGCTCTGAGCTTTGGCTTCTTCGAGCTGAGTGATCTGGGTAGTGTCAATGAACATCTGGAGAAAAGTAGGGTCTTTATCATGATCATTCGCATAATCTATTTTTGAAGTTTTCACAATAAAATCTCTGTACAAATTCTCAATATCTTTAGAAAAATGTTTCTGGGTATATGAAATAGAGGCTTTTGTGCTTCTTTCATTTTCTTGTTCATTATTAGAAAGCTCTCTTTCTTCTTGAAGAAAGACAGGCAATGGCACCTCTTCAAAATCTCCAACATAAATATCAGGGTCTTCTCCTTTGCCTTCTTCAATTCTATCCATTCTGATTCTGACCACAAAATTGCTTAGAATGAAATCGTTAAGCTTTTGAGTGTCTTCAAAATTCATGCTATCGCTCACTGATTTCCCTTCGATTTCTTCCAGAATCTCTTCTACAGATTCTTTGATCTTCGCTATATCCTTACTTCCATCCTGGTTCTGGTAGAAGGACGACACATCAAAAGTCTGCTTGAGCTTTTTATTGATGAACTTGAGGTCATCCCCTTGCTCATTCATGATGATGACTCCTTCAGGCAGCTCCTCAAGAATCTTCTTCAGTTGGGAAGAAGCTTGTTTGGCCTGGAATGTTGACAAGAACTCTTGTTTGAAACTCCTCGATATGAGAAATGCATTGAATGCAAAGATCGCCACTGCAAACCCTAAGGAGTACGAAACTGTAGTTGGGACCCAGTCAAAATGAGCCTTCAGCATGAAGTATAGGTTAGAGTATATCAACAACACTGCTGCTGAAGAGATCCTCCAATCTGATATCAGACATGTCGACAGCAGGAACGAAACTGAAATATGAAATAGGAATCCTTCATATATCCTATTGTAAGGTTAGAAAATTCTGAAGAAATCGTGAGATCATATTTATTGAACCACAAAGTTAGTTATCCAATCAAAGGGTTCATTTAGAATCTAAGGTATTATTAAAAATATTTGTCAGCGGTTAAAACACAAAGGAGAATAAATAAAAGTATAGCCGATGATTAAGCAAAGTTTATGAATTAATTCTGTCTTACCTGAACTCAGTAATTTCGAGGTTCGCTCGAGTCATCATAAGGCCAAGAACCAAAACATAGAAAATGGCTCCATATTTAGCCACGAACTTGCTTTTATAAATTAAATACTTGAGCACGAAAACAAGGAGAAACATTGTAGCTGAAAAGAGTCTTCGATGCAGAGGCATGTACTCTTCCTGGAACTGGAATAAAATAAATATAATAAAAGTTTGGATCTTTAGTATCAGAAGTATGAAGGTCCAGTTGCTCCTGATAGCTTTGAGTCGGTGCTCTTCGTACATCTTTTTGATCTTTTCGCTTTCTAAAGTGACGTCCTCAAAGACCCAGTTATTCCTGAGCTCCTTTACAACACGGTTGTTCAGAATAAGGTCTCCCCAATAATGCTTGGAAGCTTCATCCTCTGGCTTGGCGTTGGCCATTGTGAATTATAAAATAATATTTCAATTGCTTGTTCAGACTACGGGGTTTTGGGGTTTTGGGGTTTTGGGG